ACTTAGTGAGACCCTAAGCACCTTAGTGAGACCCTAGCTCTCAATAAAATGTAAAAAAAGTTTGTGTGTGTGTGGGGGATGCTGTGGGACTGCATTCACACTTCCCCCTGATTAAAAAAAAAAAAAGAATGGGGTTGGGGCTCAGCAGTTGACCCTGGGTTAAATCCCCAGTAGCCCCCCACCAAAAAATAACCTTAACATCTTCCATAATCCAAGAAAATATTGCCATTTTAACAGATAAAAGGCCAAATTCTAGTTTTGTTTCTGTACAGTTCTTAATACTGAAGTTCTTTTTGAAAGTCTTATAAATAAAGTTATTAAACCTTAGCCAACTTTGAGCATACAGAATTCCTTCCCTAAACTTACAGATTTCTGTAGATACATCCATACCCTAATAGTGTAACTTTTCAAGGTGCCCCAAATCAGTATACTCATTAATGGACCCATATGTGTTTACATCAAACTAAATTTAACCAGAGGACACCTCCAGGGACTGAGTTCTTACCTATGAGATGGCAACTTAGTTACAAATGTAAGCCAGCCACAGCAGCACATGCCTGCAATAGGCTGAGGTAGGAGGATTGCAAGTGCCAGACCAGMCTCATCAACTTAGTGAGACCCTGTCTCAAAATAAAAAGCGGGGGAGAGGCTGGAGATGTGGCTCAGTGGTTAAGTACCTGTGGGTTCAATCCCTGGAACTTAAAAAAAAAAAAGGAAGAAAAAAAGGCAAAATAAAAAACTCAGTTATACTTGTAACTAATGTTTCTGTGTTACTTAGCATTGCTCTGGGAATTGGGTGGAAGAATGGCCATTGGCATTAGCTGGTGGCATATGCGTTGTTCAGTGCTGGGGGTTGAACTCAGAGACTTAGCACGCATGTGCTTTGCCACCAAGCTGCACCCACCTGGGTGAATGTTTTGTTACCTACAGTCTTGGGAATATCTTCAGTTGACAAATTGCAAAATATATTCACTGTTGAAATAAAGTTTGTTAGAATAACAATTCAATTTGTTGAACAAATTTAGATTTTTCAAGATCTCTCTAAGTTGTTTGTGTCCTCACTAAGTTGCTGAGGCTGGCCTCACGATCCTCCTGCCTCAGCCTCCTGAGTTGCTGGGACTACAGGCATACATCATCATGCCTGGCTTTATGAACATATTTTAAACGACCACAGTATTCCCTCAGGCCACCAGTTCCTCTCTGAATTCATGTTCTATGGCGGCAATCACAAATTACCACAGATGCAGAGGCTTAAAATGACACAAATTTATTATATGACATTTCTGGAAATCAAAATCCCAAATGGGTCTCCCGGGTTGTTATGGTTTGGATCTTCAGTGTCCCCAGAAGTTCATGTGCTGAAGGCTTGGTCCCCAGAGCAGCAGCGTTCAGAGGTGGGGCTTTGGAAGGTCCCTGGATGAGGAGGGCTCCAGCCTCACCAGTAGCTTGGTCCGTTGCCGGGTTCGCAGCCTGGTGGGCACAGGAAGGTGGAAGCTTGCCGACCCTCCGTGGGCCAGAGGGGAGGCGGCGGGTCATGCTGGGCATGCCCTGAGGACGTGGCCTCTGGCCCTTCCTCTGTCTGTCTCTGCTCCTGGGCTGGCTGCCATGAGCTGAGCAAGCTTCTATCTGTCGCGCTTTGCCAGGATGCGAATCCTCCGTCCTGGATGCTCCAGGAGGAGTCGGTGTAAATGGAGAACTGTGGTCACTGGACGCTGGGAAGGCGGGCAGGGAGATGGAGGGAAGTCCGGCACCAACCACGGTGAGTTCTAGTGTCCCCTCGCACGGGGTGACCGCAGCTGACGCCCACCTGGCTCCCATTTCAGGAACAGCCAGACAGGATGTGACCCTGGGTCCCTCCCAAGGCAGGGTCACTGCCCCTGGTYAGCCTGAAGCCTCCTTGGAAGGGGGACCCTCACCCCACCAACTCTTTAAGATCAAGGGAGCAAAGTTGGGGGGCAGGTGAAATCGGGATTTAGGATAAAGATAGAGACCAAGTCTTGGAGGATCCGCTCACGAGCCACCGGGGTGCAGAAAGGCTCAGGAATATGGGAAGCCCCGGCACGACCCACCCTGGTCCAGCCTGTAAGTCAGGACGGCGCCCAGCGCAGGGACATGGAGAGAGACTGAGGAGCTGGGCCCTGGCTGCTCCCCACGCCAGCCCAGAACTGTCAGCCAGGACAGGAGCCCCCAGCCAGCGGCGCTGTCCCTCCCTCGCAGGTGGCCTGTGTCCTCCCTTGAGCGCCTGATGCTTGCCTTACCCCAGAGGCCTCTCTCAGAGCACTCACGTCCTCCTGGAATGGGACCCTGTCTGTGTCTGGGACGGGCACACGCTGCCCTTCTTTTCCGTCCTGCGTGTCAGGAGCCTCGCTGGCCCTGAGCCAGGCCCCCTTCTCCCATGATATCACCTCAAAAGCACTGCAGCTGCCCTACAAATGACACCCCAAGCTGTCCCCCTGCACCTGTCGGGTGGACCTCAGGTCGTCCCACCCCCAGCCACTGGTGAAGAGCCTTTCCCTTCTTTCTTCTGCTTTTTGAACGACCCCCTCAGGCMTCAAACTCACGAGTTCAAGGGCAAGCCAGGTCCGAGCCCGGCTTCGAGGGCCACTTCCCCACACAGCCCTGGCCTGAGTGGGAGGGAAGCAGGCAGCCGTGGCTGAGAGGTGGCAGTGAGGTCAGATCGCCAGCAGACAGCCCATCATCAGGCCTACAGACGGAGCCCACTCCCCTTCCCTGGGCCTGGGCAGACATGACCAATCAATTGCATCACTTCCSCACTGAGTCAACCTAAAGCTGCAGACAGCCACGATTAGTTAGTGGGCATGGGGACTGGGGGGAACCGGCTGGCCATTCTTGACCCAGACACAGACAGGATCCCCAGGTCAGGGTGGCTGAGTCAGAAGCCAGGGAGGAGGGTCGTGGTCAGAACACACAGGAATCGCAAGAGCRGTGAGGCCAAGGGCGGGCGGGGGTCAGGGGCCTTAGCAGAACCTCCCTGCAGAAGGAGGGCATGACTCAGGTCCTCAGAGTCCCCAGGGCACTGTCACCAGGCAGCCTGGCTCTTGAGGTCGGTGTGACTCACTTCCGTCCCACAGGCTGGGAAGCGAAAGGCCCAGAGCAGGTGGGTGTCACCTGGACACACGCTTCTGCACCATCAGCCCCTGAGCTCAGGAACAGGACCCCGGGACCAGCTCCTCTCCTGACCTTCACCCTGGAGCCGAGACTCTGCCAGATGCCCCCACCCGCCATGGCCTGGCCGCTCAGGCCCCCTCCTGCCTGTGCTAGGCTTTTTTTTCCTACCGCTGCTGGTGCGGGGCCTGAGAACAGCCTGACCTGTGAGAAGTCAGRTCTGGGACCTGTGTTCGGCTTCCAGCTCTTTTCTATTGTTTTCCCCCAGGCTGATTCCAAGGCCTGGCAGTGTAGACAAGCCCTCCACCACTGAGCTGCGTCTCAATCCTTTTCATTTYATTTTGAGACAGGGTCTCACTAAGTTGTTGAGGCTGGCCCCAACCTGGAGATCCTCCTGTCTCAGCCTCCCAACATGCGGGGATTTGTAGGCATGTGCCACTGAGCCTGGTTGGCTGGCTCTCAGTTCTCTGACCTCGCCTCTYCACCCCGCTGACCAGGCACAAAGCCAAAACCCCAGAGATGAGTGAGGGAGAGCCTCCAGGAAGGCCCAGAGGTGAGGAGGCCAGCCCTCTTCTAAGACTCTCCCTCCAGCACCCCAGCTCCCTGTCTCTCTGTGGGGCCCCACACCCAGGGACAGTGGCTGGAGAGACCCTTGATGTGGGCAGGTGATGCAGTGTCCAGGACTGGCAAGGATGCAGGGGACCTGGGAAGTCAGAGCTGCCCTTGGCRGGCCAGGAGCGTGTTCAGGGCCCACCTGCCCTTTGCCAGCCTCTAGACCCGGTTGTGCCTCATTCTGGATCAGGGAACACACCAATGACAGTGGTCACTGTATGGACGTGCAAATGAGGGCCAGGGCAGGGGGGAGGTCACTCAAACCTCAAGATCAAGGAGGATGGGAGCCAGGGCCCGGTCCGGGCCACCTCACTGCCCCTGCCAGTGACCGTCCTGCACTCCTGCCGGGAACCCCTGGGAGTGCTGAGCACGATGGCAGGAGTCCTCTAATTAGGAAGCTGATCTTCCAAGAGCAAAGAACCGAAGCTGCACCCTAGTGGCTGAGCAGCGGCAGAGCTCGGCTTGAATGGCCAGCAGGTGGCAGGGCTGGCTGGGGCCGTGGGAGAGGACAGCGGGGAGCATTGCTCAGCTCCAGGAGGTGGTTCCACCTGTCACATCCCCAGTCCTTTTCTATTTTTTTTTTTTTTTTTTTGGTCGTGCTGAAGATTGAGTCCAGGGCTTTGTGCATGTGAGGCAACCCTTTCCATATATTATTATTTTTTTAAATTTTGAGACAGGGTCTCACCAAATTGCTTAGGGCCTTGCCATGTTGCTGAAACTGGCTTTGAACTTTCAATCCTCCTGCCTCAGTCCCCCTGAGCCATGAAATTTGATTTTTAAGTGTGGTCAACTGTATTTTATTTATTTTTTATTTTTTAAAGAGAGAGTGAGAGAGGAGAGAGAGAGAGAGAGAGAATTTTAGTTCTCGGCGGACACATCATCTTTGTTGGTATGTGGTGCTGAGGATCGAACCCGGGCCGCACGCATGCCAGGCGAGCGTGCTACCGCTTGAGCCACATCCCCAGCCCCGGTCAACTGTATTTTAAAAAAATGTTTAGCCAGGCGCAGAGGCACACAACATAATCCCAAAGATGTGGGAGGCCAACGTAGGAGGATTGCAAGTCAGCCTTAGTGAGATCCTGGCTCAAAATAAAAATAAAAACARGGATATGGCTCAAAGTGTAAACTGCCCCAAGGTAAATCCTCACCTCCCATATACACATTTGTTTTAATATTTATTCTTTATTTTACTCATTTTCATGTGGTGCTGAGGATCGAACCCAGGGCCTCACACGTACTAGGCGAGTGCTCTCCCGCTGAGCCCCAGCCCTCCCATATACACATTTAAACACATCTTCAGGCCACTATGAGCAGCCTGCAGTCTGAGAGCAACTCCACGGAAATCTCACCTGCAGGCCTCTGGCTGCCCTTCTACGTAGCCTGAGGCTGTGTTCCCCTGGAGATCTCTTCCCACCACCCGCCGCTAGTGTGGGTCATTTCTATATCCTGTCCCAAGGAGGGGAGTCCCTTGCTGCCAGACAACTGTGCCCGCCCTGGTGCCCTTGCTATGGACCCTAGTCCCCTGTGGGCCTAGGGTTGGTCCACTGCGCTTGCACAGTACCACTTTGTGGTAGTTTCAAGGATCCCCACATCCAGGCTCTGCTGCCTCTGTATGCACCCCTGAGGACACTCCTGACTGCCATTTCCATGGCCCTGTATCGCCCCAGCCCCCTCCTCGCGTGCCCAGTTATTGGGGTTTAAGACTGCAGTCTGCGGTGCCACTACCCACCCTCTGCTCCACCTCGGGAGCTTCAGCCCTGGACCTCCAGCACCACGGCTCCCCGCAACCACCCAACCTCCGGGATGCCCTCTCCCCCACCAAGCTTGCACCCAGCCGGTGGCCTGGTCCCACTGAAACTCATGTCACCTGTCTCAGATGCAGCCTGGGGCCTTCCAAGCTACTGTCTGCTCCTGAGATCACGGTTCTCCTCCAAACCCCCTTCCAAGCCAAGTTGCCCACTGACCAGCAGAAGCACTGGCCAGACGGGTCCACAGCCCCAGGTACCTGGGACCTGGACCCAGACACCTTCCCTTGTCTTTGAGAATGGGCTCCCCCTCTGCCCTTGTCCCGGGGCACCAAGCCCCACCCAGAAGACCCAGAAGCCATGGGGCTTTGGTAAAGCAGGAGACCAGGGCTGGTGTGGCCTGGGTGAGGATGGCCTGCAGCACGAGGCCCCCCTGGGCTGGACCCCAGCGCTACAAAACAAAATCATTCCAGGTAGAGGCCTGGTTGCCCCAGTGGCCTGAAAGACTCTTTCCCTAGCCTGGGTCATGCCCTGCTCCCTCTGCTCCAAATTCCCAGGCCTTTTAGCTCTCGGGACCCACTTACCTGCTGCCACCTTGGGAACCGGATGCTCCCTGTTCTCTCTGCTTCTCCTCCAGCTCCACCCACACAGCTCCCYCTGTCCCCTCTCTCAACCACTGCTCAATGCCATAGTCTAGCGGGACCCTCCTTGGTCCCTCTGTTTGAACGTGTGCGTGCAGAAATGGGTGGCGGTGACAGCTGCCCAGCACTGTGAATACACATTCAATGCCARTGAACTGTACCCTTAGGAAAGCCTTAAGTGGCAAACATATTTTAAGTTTCAAAGCAAACAAAACTGCACAAGCACTATCAGCCCTTTTCCTCGGAAGCATCTTTTCCGGACGCTGTGTTTATTTATTTGCTGGTCTTCCACCTCCCCGCAGCCTGCCAGCTCCTGCCAGAGGGGTATCCATCTGGACACTTAGGAGCGCATTCCCCACATCTGCCTCCAGAGGGCGCCATGACCACGGTGATGAGATCYGCACCCAGGCGCTGCCTGGGCCACAAGGCCACCACTGTACCAGGTGAAGCCAGTGTTGCTCTGCAGGTGAAGGGGACCCTGCAGATCCTTCCCCATCCCAGGCAGGACTCAGTTCCTCTGCCTTGTCACCCACTGGGTGTCCACAGGCTTGGAAAGATGGCAGCACGTGGACACAATATGGGCAGGTCACACATGATTAAGCTGGCATCTTGGTGCCCCTTAGGAAAGAGGTGAGGATCCAGGAGGTGCCCCTGCAGAGTCTGAGTACCCACAACAGTGGTGACGGCCACCCTGCTTGGGAAGCACCCGCCTCCTTCCCTGGCCACCCAGTTCCCAGTGCCAGGCATGTCATGGTGTCCTGGTTCTGTCATCAGCTGCCCCWCCTGTGCCCTCCAGTCTGCAGCCGGAGCTCACTACAGCCATGGCTCCAGCAGGCAGGACGGGCTCTGGTGGTGCAGACCCAAGGCCACCTGCTGGCCTGGCCCCACAGCAGCACTGCCTTCCCAGGAGCCCTTGTGAAGCATCCGCCATGAGGGCAGCCCAGCCTGGGGCCCAGGCTTACTGGCTCAACAGTGCCCGGCAGGCACCAGAGGGCAGCCTTGGAGTCCCACTGAGCCCAGGAGTTAGAGACCAGCCTGGGGCAGCAAGAAACAAAGTCCTCCCCTGCTGGAGTGACCAGGGCTGGCTGCACTGTGGGGCCCAGTCCTGGCCTGCCAGAGCCCGTCCCCTGCCTGTTGTGATTCCCAGTCAGGGAAGTGGGTGGAAGGCCTGGGGCTGGCTGGGATGAGCTCAGGAGGACATCTTTTGCYGTGGGCCTGCTCTTCAGTGGACTGGTGGCCTCCAGATCCCAGGGTGGCTCCTGCACGGGTGGTCCCACCCACAGGCCTGTGTCCACCTTGTCTACCCTTGCAAAGGTCCCACTSTACACACCTTAGGGCTGGCAGCGATCACATTGGGGTTTTTATTAGACTTTCTGTGGGAGACCTGGATGCTTCTGTCTGCCATCCAGCTCCTCAGCCCTTCCCCTGCTCCTGGGCTCTGTTCTGGGGGGCCAAGAGGGAGCTGCCCACCCTGCCCCAACCTTCTAAGGCCTTGGGCTGCTTCCCTGAGACAAGCCAGTTCCCATTGTCTCCCCCTTTGCCTGGGCCAGGCCCCAGCAGAGCCACCGGCCTTCACTGCAGGCTGACCTACAGCTTGGTGTTGAGGTGCAGGAAGTGGGGTGCTGCGTAGGCTGTGATGGGTGGCACGTGCCAGACTGATGAAGCYGGGCCAAGTCTGTGGCGGAGGGTGCTGTCAAAGGAGGTGGGGGGGAAGTGCATCAGGCCAGCGGCCATGGGTGCAGGGCCTGCAGTGGCCAGGAAGTGGGCCGGGAAGGCAGGGACGACCAGGGGGCTGAAGGGGAGAGCAGCCTGGCCCTTTAAAGGGTCTGAGGTGCTGGCGAAGTTGAGTGGGCACTGCAGCATGGGGCCCCTGTGGGCGTCCAGCGGGGCAGGCCCCAGCCCTGGGCCCAGCAGGCACGAGACAGCCAGGCCAGGTGCTGTGGGCTTGGTCCTGCCCTCCTTGGCATCCGTCTCCTTGAGGAAGGGAGACACTGCCCGCAGTTTTTTGCTGCTGTGGGCAAAGCCCTCTTCTTCCCAGGTGCGCTTGTTGCCCAGGCCTGGGCTGCCGGGGAGCAGGGGTGGGGCCCCTGGGCTCTCAGCAGGGACTTTGGCCATGGGGGACACCCAGCAGGCTTTGGGCTTGGGGTAGAAGCTGCTTTTCCTGGAGCCACCTCTATGGAATGCAGAGGGACGGCTGGCGTCCCCGSCCCACAGCAGTGGGGGCTCTTTGGCCGAAGGCCCCTCTTCTTTGGCAGGAGGCTCCGACAGCACCCTGTCCTTGAGGCTGGAGAAGAAGTCCCGGGGGTGCCGGCTGACGGGCTTCAGCACCTCAGTGCGGCAGGCACGGAAACAGCCTGTGAAGGTGGGGGCTGGGGGGYTGGGGCCCGCCTGGGCCTCCACCCYGGGGGTACCAGCGAGGGCCTGCGGTCCCTGAGGGGGCAGCKGGGGCCTGGAACTCTCAGCCAGCCTCTCGGGGCTCCGGGGGCGCTCCAGGGGCTCCCTGCTGGGGCCACCCGCTCCGTGGAGACAGCCCTCCTCCTGGCACTGCAAGGCCTCTGCCTTGCTGACGTGGGCCAGGAGCTTCTTTTTGGCCAGTGGTGACATGATGCCATGTGTCCCTTTGCAGAAGCTGGACAGGAGCCGCTTGTAAGCCTCAGGGCAGCCGCCGGCACCCACAAGGGGCAGAGAGGGCCCGGGCACGGGGCCCTGCTGTTCTGTGCTGTCCTTMGGGGGATCCTGGCTGGGCAGCTGTGCCAGGTCTGTGCCCGTCTCGGTCTTTCCTGGCACCATCTAGAAGGAGAAAAGGCCGCTTCAGGGCTGGTGCAGGCCATGCCTCCGACCTGGGGAACTGCAGCAGCAGGGCTCAGGGGTGTCCAGGGGCCACAGTGGGCCTCTGCAGCACTTTGGGGAATATTTTCTCAAGGCGTCCGGTCCTCTGAGTGGACATGGTGTCTCAGCAGGACACAGGGCTGGGTGAAGGGTGAGCTGGACTTCAGAGCCCAGGCATGACCATCACAGAGGACCTGCAGCCCCCGGGKCCTGCCCTCAGTCAGTTCTGGGTCCTCCACAGCGGAGACTCTGCAGCAGTCAGGACGGGCAGGAGGGCCCCAGAGGGAGGTGCAAGGGACAGGGGATGGGGAGGCTCCRCCACCTGGCGCTCACCTGGTCCACCTGCCTCTCCTCCTTGGCCTTCTTTGGCCTCTCAGTGGCCCCGTCATCCCCCCGGGGCTCCTTGGCCACCTTGTACTGTTTCYTGGGCTTGGAGGGGGGCAACGGCTTGTCGTCCTCTCCCTTCAGGTGCCGGACATACGGGAGGACCAGCCTGGGGAGGAGCGGGTGTGTCAGTAGGAGGCCAGAGGCCACCACCCTGCTGGCCTCCGCCTGGCTACCTTTCCACTCCACCTCCCCCACCAGGACTTCCCTCCATTCTGACCCCAAAGCTGCCAGATCTGTCCTGCCACCTTATGACTCCGGGCCCCATGAGGTCAGAAGGCATGTGCACAGAGCATCCGTTGGCCTACACGCTCCCGCTCCCAGCCATGCTCTGCTGGGGCCCTAGGAGGGATGCCTCTGGTGTCTTGGGCCCAGGGCCACGAGGTGGCCGTCCCCGCATACCTCTCATAGTGGCGGCGCGTGCACGTGGCTGCACTCGTGCTGCCCGGGCTCCCCCCCAGCTCATCGTACACGTTCTTCCACAGGCGGCGGCCTGTCACCTGCAAGGACACTGTGTCAGGGCAGGGTCATGGGTGCCCCCTGGCATCGGGGTCCCAGCAGCACCAGGTACCCTCGCAGGRATGGGGGCAAGAGACTCTTCCAGCCACGGGCAGGGGCGGGAGGCTGGAGGGGGCTGTGCGGCCGGCCAGCTCTCCTCCCAGGGCCCCTGACTGCTGGCCCAAGCAGGTTCTGGAGCACAGGAGGCAGAACAGATGGGGAGAGAGGGAAACCTGCTTAGAACAGCAAAGTACCCCAGGCACAGCCCTCCTCTGCCCTGCRGCAAGCAGGGCTGTGCTAAGGATCCTGCCTCTTCCTGTCCATCCGCAGCAAGGACAGCCCTGCTGGCTGGCCCCTGCCCCGGCCCTCCTGGGGGTGCAGCAGGGATGTGTAGGGTCATGCAGCATGGCGAGGACTCGGGGGCCTTCAGCTTACCAGCTCGTAGGCCCCCAGCTTCTCCACCGCCTTGTGGATCTTCCAGAGGTTAACTGGAGGGAAGAGGGGCAGGGCCACTGTCAGGCTCTGAGGAGAGGGGAGCCTGCACCCTGCACACCGCTCAGTGGTCAGTGGATGGAGTCCACCTCTGCTGACCCTGAACCTGCCGGGAGGCATCCTTTCTATTCGGAACCCCTGTGGGCTGGCAGTGTCTGGGGTCACCAGAGCAAGGGGCCTGCCCTGACCTTCTGCCTGGGTGGGATCCCCTGCTGGGCCCCCCTCCCTGCTTGCCCCCCCAGGACGCACTCTGCTTGAAGCCGAGATGGGGCACCCTCTCGATGGGCGTGTGCCGCTCCTTCATGAACTTGTAGAGGCTGACCAGGAAGGCCTGCTCCTCCTCCCGCTCCCTGCCTGCCTCTGGGGCGTCCTGGGGAAAGAACGGGCGGCGTGGGCACAGGTCCCAGCTGGTGGGTGGCTAGGCACACCAGAGACCTCTGGCGGTGGGGAGGAACAAGGCGCTGGCCCCCCAGCCCCTGCCCTGGGCTGCATAGTCACCTGCAAAGGCACCGGGAGAGGACAGGGCTCCAGGCAGGATGGGCTCAAGGACTAGAGTTTCTGGGTCATGCTGGCATGGAGCCAGCTCTTAGTGCCCAGGGTCCAGGAGCTTCAGAGGCTCTGGAGCAGCCACAGGGGCAGCCCCTGCCTTCTCCTGAACAGAGTCACTTCCTCATCGTGCCCCTGATTTGCTAATCTTCCTCTTAGCGCCTGCATCAGACTGAGTCCCTGGAAGGAGACTCCAGGCCCCTGGGGTGCCCAGGGCTCTAGGCACCGTGGGCTGTTCCRCAGGCTGTTCGGCAGGCGACGTCCACTAGGCCTCTGCTGTGATGGCCGACAGCATCCCCTACCCCCGTGTGCCAACGCGATGCCAACTTAAATGGTGGGTGGGTGGAAATGCAGGTTTACAAGAGAGAACAGTGCATTTGCCTGGTTCAGGGGCAGCATCCAGGCCATCTTCCTTTGAAGGTGAGCCCCGGCCTGCCCAGAACTCACTGCTGGCCAAGGGCCCAGGATCCCTCCTGAGAGCCGAGGAGGCTCCAAGTCCCCCGAGGCTGAAGGTGGCAGGAAAGTGGCCCTGGGGAGTTGTGGAACTCACCTCCATCTGGATGGGGCTCTGGCTCCTGCTCTGCGCACCATCGGGCTGAGGGGACGCAGGGGGCTCCAAGGCCTCGCCCTCCTCTGACTGTTTTCTTTTCCCTTTGACAGGGGGTGCTGCTGGGAGAGAGGGAGGAAAGGAGAACCTGTGAGATGCAGAGAACGGGGGCCACGGGCCATCCCCCCACTCCCAGGTGTCCTCGCCTTCTTCCCACAGCGTCCCCTGCCCACCCGTCCTGGCTGCCCACCCGTCCTGGCTGCCCTCGGCTGTCCCTCTGCACCCGCCCACACACACACTCCCAGGACTCACCCTGGACAGGCGGCCCCACCCTCCCTGGCCCTCCCCTCTGCACCCGCCCCCTTTCTCCTTCACTTCCAGCCACCTCCCCGAAGCCTTCTCAGGGGGAAGTCAGGAGGCGGGTCACACCCCAAACCTGCCCACACCCAGAGGAAGTTTCACGGCAACTTGGTCAGATCAGGGATGCTACCAAGGCTCCCGCGTGTGGTCCCCGAAGCCACCCCGGGAGCCTGGACAGGTGCTCTTCCAGGGACCATGCAGAAGAGATGAGTGCCCATTTGTGACCCATCTGGCCTGTCCCCAAGCACATGCAGCCTTCTCACTGCCCCTCCTTAGGCCTCAAACTGCCCTTACTAGCAAGGGTCCTGAGGGCCCTACAGGTCTCTGCAAGTCCCTTCCCTGGGTGGCCTTCCCTGGCCCCAGCCAGCCCCAGCACGTCCCTCTCATTGTCGTAGCTGCTCACAGTCATCCTAGCAAAACTGCTTGTCACCAATGTCACCCTGATACCTCAGGGAGGCCTCCAGCCCCCACACACAGAGGGGCCAGGCCAACGGGAACCAGCCAGGCTCACGACAACCACTCATGGACACAGGGTCCATCCTGCTAAGGGCAGCCAGCTGTGTGCCTTCAGCTACAAAAACATAACCACTGGAGACCACCTGAGCCAGGAGGCAGGCTGGCAGCATCCCTAGACCAGGAACCCACATCGGATGACAGCCCTTTCTGTTTGTTATTTTGGAATGAAAGGGCTCATATTCCCAGTTTGCTCCAGATATTTGTACTGTCAGAAACCTGTGGGGTTCCCGCATCCCAGACAGGAAGACTCCCCTGGAACAGGGGCTGGTACCACCAGGACCCAGGGCTGCAGGAACCAGAAGGAACCAGAGGCCTGTGCCGAGATCTCTGCTGCTCCACAGCGTGGCCTTGGGGGTGGCCTTGGTGGTCAAGCACGACGCCCTGCTGTGCCCCCCGTTCTTTCCGGCACCTTTTCACAGTGCGGGAAGGATCCCATTTTAAAGCAGGGGAAACTGAAGCCAAAGAGGTCCCGTTGCTTGCCTCCCTGATGGACCAGGGCGCAAAACAAAGCCCCTCTGACCCTGGAGGAGTRGCCACCAGGGTCATCCTCCACCTGTGCAAAGCCCTGATAGAGTCAACAAATCTGGAGGGAACAACCTAAGGCTGGTCAGAGAGAGAGAGACTCAGGCCGCCCGAAATTCAAGACCCAGCCAGCAATCCAGGAGGCTAACAATTGACCCATCAGAGCAACACCCTTACAACCAAGTTCTTGGTGACTATGTGGCTTGGTCATTCCTTCTGTGAAATGGGAGAAAGGCTCAAATCCTTTGCTAACTCTCTGAATTCCAGAAGCTTCCAGGCCATAAGAGCCCCTCTCCGGGCTGGTCCTCCTCCTCGCCTCGCCTGCCTGCTGCCTCAGATCCTGGGCATGGGCACCAAAGGACTCTCTCCATTTCTGAGTGTGACCTGGTTTCTCAGGGGTCATGTTACCACCCCTGGATTTCAGAAAAATGAGTTGGCTAAGCCAGGCACAGGGTCACATGCCTGTAGTCCCAGCTACTCAGTGGGGGGCTGGGGAAGAATTGCTTAAGCCCAGGAGTTTGAGGCCAGCCTAGGCAACACAGTGAGACCCATCTCAGGAACAGAACAGAACAACAACCACCACCACCACAACCAAATAAGGTGGTTGGACCATTAGAATCACCTGGGGGAGCATTTTTAAGTCTGATCCTATGTGGGGCACCCCAGCAGGTGGCCAGGTGGACCGGAGGACCTCTAGTCCCTTCTGATGGATCCTGGTTCTGGAACCTGTAGCTCTGCCTGGGCCCTGCTCAGGGAAAACCTCCTGGAGCTGGGCACTAGGGTTACCTGGAAAGGAGGTCACCAGTCAGAGCCGCTGAAGCCCAGATGGGACAGGACCAGAGCTCCTGCCTGGAGCCACAAAGGGAGGCACTCTCTATCTCTGTGTCCTACTGAGTCCCCAAATGAACTTGGTCTCCATTCTCTCCCCAGTGCTTCAAGCGCTTTCCATCTGTCCTGGCGCCTTCTGGGCGCCCAATTGCACAGTTTTMGTGAAAGAGCCAGAAGAGCCCCTCTCTCCTGATCCAGGGGGCACCAGGTACCCCCTGTCCTGTCCCTGGCCACCCTGATCCCTCACATCTCTGATGGTTCTGTCTGCTATGAAAAATAAGTTGGAAACCCACTTCCACAGAKGTGGGGCGGGCCCTGCCTGCCTGCCTGGTTCTGCACGGGAGGGAAGGAGTTCTTGGAGTGGGGACCTTGGTCTCCTAGCTTCACCCCACCTACAGGGGCAGAAGAGACCCACCCACCCCTTCATGACTGCCCCTGCCCTGAGTCGATCGGTGAGGGGGGAAGGTGGATCAAGCTTCAAAAAGAAACCCTTGCTCTCTACACAAATGCCATTCARACATGACCTTCTCCGTCTAGGAAACAACAGTGATGGTGATGACATCACTGTTCACTCAGGACACATCTGGAGGCTGTGGCGTGAGGTGGGACACAGGGGTCACCATGATCCTCCCCAACCCTGCCTCCTGGGGGTTAGTGCTGCCAGTACTGACTGGGTGACCCTCCCCCCCCCCGTGGCTGAAATGCCACCCTCTCCATAATCTCAATGCTTTTAAGGAACACATCTGGGGCTATTTTGGGGCTTTCTATTCTGTTCCATTCACTGTCTTTCTGCTCTACTCTGTTCATGGTGGAACACTGGCCTAGGTGCACTTTTAATTTTTGTAACTTAGTGAGACTGTGCTATCCACAGGGCAAGACATCGGTACTCCTCTTTTAAAAAGATTCCGTCTGAGAGCTGGAGTGGTGGCGTGGCAGAGCGCTTGCCTGGCATGCGTGAGGCACTGGGTTCGAGTCTCAGCACTGCATATAAATAGATAAAATAAAGGTCCATTGSGGGAAATAAAGACTCCATCTAAATGTTAGGAAAATTTGGTCACATTCTCTAAACAAACACACATAAAAATAAAAAGATAAAAAAACAAATACCAATGGTACTCTGAATTGCATACCCATTTAGAAACTACTCAGAGCAGAAATCACCATCTGATGTCTATCTGTCTTTCTGGGACCAGGTGCCTCCCCTGCCAGGTTCCCCCTGCAGCTCAGAGGCTCCTTGTTAAAGCCCTTGTGCCCTTGACAGTGAGTTTATTCCTGGTTTCCTCGAGTTCTGTGCAGTTCGGCCATGGGGCTAGGGAAGTCCTGATCACTGAGGGCAGGACTTTACAAGTCCCCTTTGATTTGCTCACTTCTTGCTGGCAGAGATCCCCAGGAGGGTGGGTGGTGGGGCCAGGAGATGAGCCAGGGTCCCTGTGGCCTAGGCCCTCACTAGCAGCAAGGTATGACAGACGTGAGGCAGGAGCTCTGCCCAAGGATCCTCGTGGGTTAGGAACCTGATTTCTGTTCCATTCCAAGGCTCAAGTGAGAGTCAAGCTCAACTACCAGATCCTAAACTGTGGTGGATAGGAGCTTAGCTGGGTCACTGGCTCCCAAGAGAGTGTGCTCCCTGAGTGTGTGTTCTCAGGCCCTTAAAGGTTTTTTTTTTTTGGTTTTTTTTTTTAAATTTTTGTTATTAGGGATTGAACCCAGGGGTGGTTCCTTAGTCCTTTTAATTTGCCTCAGCCTCCTGGGATCACCGTGCGCACCACCACATCCAGCCCCTAACTCCCTTTCTGCACCTGATGCTGTACCAACTCAAATCAGAGCTCCGGCCAGCTTGGGCTTGGTGCCCTGCACCTGCCTTACTGACTCCTCCCAGCCTCACTGGGGGCTTCACTCGTTCCCCCTTTAACAGCTGTCATACCTGGTGCCTCAGGTCACACAGCTTTCCAGCGACAGAGCTGGGATTCAGAACCAGAGCAGTCTGACTGCTCCAAGTCACTCAGCCCTGAGTGCAGAGTATTTTATGTTGTCTTAATGGGATGGGGACACCCCAGTTTCCTCATCTCTGCTCAGAGGATGCAAATTTGCCCACTCTCCCCACCAACTCTGCATCACATGACCCTGATGCTCCCCTAACAGCTGGTCTGTGTGGACAAGAGGGGCAGATCAACAGGCTGCAGGCCTGGGCAGAAAGAACATCTACTGTGTGCGTCAATCCCCTGGCTTCAGAGGCCCCCAGAGGCCCCGCCATCTTTGAATAAGGACTGTTGTGTTCACATCTTGAGGAAGGAAGGAAAAACTGTTGTCATCCATTGATATTCCTTTAAGAGACTGCCACCTATTGCCACAGAGAGTAGGGGATGGGCTCCTGGCTAGGGCTGTCTACTGGAGTGGGAGGCAGGGRTCCCTGCAAAGGACAGAAGGTAAAGGCATAGAGACTCAAATAGTCTCACTCGGACTTAGGGAAAGTAGGTGGGTGGGTGAGGGGAAGTTGGTGGCCCTGTGRGCCCACCCCTCCCCTGCCAAACAATGGCATCAGAAGAGAGCAGGGCAAAGCAGAGCTGGGCAGRGGGCCGGGGCCCCACACAGCTGCATCTTCTACCAATTCAGTCACTGATCCCGTGCCTCAGTTTCTCCATCTATAAGATGAGTGTGCTACACTCGATGGGCCAAGGTTTTAAGTGGAAGAAAATSAGAAATGAGGGGCTGGGGTTGTGGCTCAGTGGTAGARTACACTMGCCTAGCTCATGCGGGGCCCTGGATTCGATCCTAAGCACCACATAAAAATAAATAAAAAGGACTGTGTCCAACTACAACTAAAAATATTTTTTAAAAGAAAAAGAAAATGAGAAATGAGGTTCCCCCACAAACCACAAGGCTTGTGTGTGCACACCTCTGAATGAGAGCCATACCTGTCCTCCCCATCCCCATCGCATCTCACTGCACTACAGGAATATCAGCTTGTGCCTGTGGGACGAGAACCTTGATCTCAAATAGCCCTGATGCCCAGAGAGGGGCTGTGACTAGTTGGAGGCCACACAGCCTGGAGGTGGGGGCCTGCTAACTGAGTATTACGCCCCACTCACTATTGGTGTGATGGGAAGGAAGTGACACTTCCTTTCATAAAAAGTCATGACTGGGAACACTGTGTCAATTACGAAAATAATGGCAACAGCAGCCTGAATAGCAACCGGCAGACACCGCCCCACCCCCTCGCCTGGGGTTGTTGGCTTCCATTTCTCTTAGCGAAAGCTGAAGCCCAAACAAAGACAGCCTTTGAAGCGGCCAGTCCACTCAGGGCCCAGGAGCAAGCTGCTGGCAGAGTTTCGGCATGGGGCTTGCTCCAGTGGGCAGTGAGACCTGTGGGGCGGGGAGACCTGCCAACAGCCAGCACTGAGGACAAAGGGGCTTGGCAGGGGACCTGAGGACTCACTCAGGGTGCAGCACTCACCATAGCCCAGCTCACTACCTAAGCTGGGCTAAGGGGAGAGGAACAGGGTCTGGGAGCAGCTGGGGTCAAGCCAAGAGCATTGTGAGGTACAGAAAGGCAGGAGGGCATGGGGGCACCAGATGGGACACTGCCAACTCCTGAGCCTCTCTGGAGCACCCTGCCCCTCTTTACTCAGTTCTGGAATGTCCTAAAAGAACCCATTCCAGGATGAGGCTGAATCTGCACTGCCTCTCCCAGCCCAGTCTGGGAGATGCAGGATGGAAACCTGAAGAGCTCCTTCTGAGGATGGCTTCCTGTTTCTCACCCCACCTATGGAGAAACAGGATGTGGGGGCAAGTGACTTGTCCAAGCTGTGAGGCAGATCCCCTCCTGGGGCACAGGCCTTCAAGGGAAGGTGGGCCATTCCAGCTTAGTTTCCAACCCCAAAAAATGAGACCCTAGGGAATGCAGAAAGAGCAAAGAGTCTTGGAGGCCTGTCCCTCCCAGTGCCAAAGCTGAGCTGGTCTATGCCTCTGCTTCTCTTACTATAAATCAAAGGTGAGGARCTTATTCTAAAGCCCTTTCTACCTTTGCCATGTCCAGTTGGAGGCCCCAGGTGAGTCCAGACTACACTCTGTAACTCTGCTCTGGAGGTGGTACCTCCCAGTCACCATCTCCCACTCCACTGTGCCTTAGCATCACCAGCAGGAGCAGAGACTCTTCTCCATGCATCAGTTCGCAAGAGTTGGGGGCATAAAGCACCTGTTACTCTCCTTGGGCCCCTGGGCCCCTCCCTGCTACTCCAAGACTCTACAAACAAAGAGATGCTGGGCCCAGAAAGCACAGCGACGAAGAACCTCACTAAGCCTCGGGGTCCCTAGGTGCGGCTTGACCCACTGAGCTGGAGGGAGCAGGCTGAAGGCTGTGTGACCCCAGCCAGGCAGTTACCCCTGGACACTGCGAAGCGCTGGAGATATGGCGCCCAGGTTGCACCCCCAGCTCCTGCTGAGAGCGAAGCGAAACTTTCCCTGCACTCTCACTACCTGCATTTTGCCCTTTCTCCCCATTCACTGTCCTGGCCAGCACCCTGTCCCTGCTGGAGTGCCGAGGGAAGAGAAGGGTAAGGGCAGAAGAACAAGAGGAGAGCAAAGGGAAGCTACTACTTCTCTGCCCCGGGTTGAGAGGATGGGCAAGAGACAGGAAAGGGGGAGGCGAGGGGACAGAAGGGAAAAAGGGAAAGAGCAGGGACACAGGGCCTGCGGCCGGCAACCGCCAGACGATCCACACACCCCTCCGCCGAAAGCGGAACAGTGGATTCTTCAAAGCGCATTGAGCAAGTTCTTCAAAACCCGCGCAGTCACTTTCAGGAAACGCGGCCGCAGTGGGAAGCGCCGCGCGCCGCGGACCCGGCGCCTCTTCTCGGCGGCGCGGCGGGTTCTGAGAACCGCGGGGCTGTCACGGGGCGGGAGGGGACGGGGGCCGAGAAACTGCTGCTGACAGCTGTCACAACAAATTAGCTGAGACCAGCTCGAGATTGAAACCGCAGCAGGAAGTGGGATGACAGAACCCTACAGGGCTTGGTAAATTTCAGGCAAGAGACGGCGAAAAGAGTTTCGAAATCAACGCCCGGGAAGCCCCTGGCCGCCAAAAACTTTTTTTTGTCTTTCCTTTTTTCGAAGAGCGCGCGCGGACGCCCAGCCTCGCCCTCCGGCGCTGGCCCGGGGTGCGGACGCCGGGGTCCCGGCTCGCTCCGCGCGCCCGAGCCCCCGAACCCGCTCCCGCCCCGGCCGCCCCGCACGGCCACACCGACCGCCGCGAGGGCACGAGGAGTCCCGCGCYGYACCTCTCGCCCTCCCCGCGGGCCCCCGAGCCCCGTCCCGGGCCGCCGAGACGCTTACCCATGGCCCTTCGAGGTCCCGCGGCGCCGCCCGGAGACACTGCACAGGAGACGCCGACCAGACCCGCGCTCCGGGCGCGACTGACTCGCGGCACGGCTCGCAGCCGCCTCCCGCAGCCCCGCCCCGCCCGGGCGCAGCCCCGCCCCYCCTGGGCTCCCATTGGCAGCCCAGTTCTTTGGGGAGGGGTCAGGGTCCGCCCCATGAGCCCGGGGAAGTCTGGGAGTTGTAGTGTGCGCCCCGCTCCCCGCCTCGCAACCTAGAAAGGGAGGAGGATCGCCGGGAATCCAGACCGCGGCGGCCTTGTACCTGTCCCCCTAAGGGCAAAACTAGAGTTTTGGAAAAGTCCTCCTCGCTGTCAGCAATATACTGAGGACTGAGTGGGGTAAGCAAAGTGCTTTTGACTTTTTGACTTAAAGTGGTCCTGGGCCAAGTGGTTAGTGTTAGCCTAATAGGGGCCAGACTAATGAGCCCTTGACCTAGCCTCTGTGGGATTCCATAATGCCTGATGTCTCCAGCCCGACCTTAATAGCCAGTGTCCACATATGTCATGCAGTGTGGCAGCTACAGGCTGAGCAGTGCAGAGTGGGGAGCGCCCCTGCTGAAGGAGATATTGGTGAGGCTTAGGGTGAGCTGAGGCAAGGAGAGATGTGGAGCCAGCGTAGCAGTCACTTGGACCTGCTTGGATTGTAGGAGCGTCAAGTATCAGCAAATACCCAAATACCGTGTTGGACTTGAAATCTGTTCCAGCACATAGTAGGTACACAGAAGTTTCATTGATTAACACTCATAATAGCTCTTTGCAGTTCACACAATCATCATCCTCATTTTATAGGGTAAAATGGAGGGAAGGTCTGGGAGATTAATTAGCTCAAGATCCACAGTGAAGGTGGTGGAGCTTGAGCTAAACCCAGTCATTGGGGCCCAGAACAGAACAGAGGTCCCCAACCCTATCTGCACTCCAACCTGTCTGAACTCCTCGCTGCCCACGAGCACACCAGTGCTCCTCTAAATTAATGGACCAGGCCACAGTTTGGTGACCCCAATTCCTTGGCTGTTACCCTTTAGCCCTGGGATGACAGAACTCAGCCCAGAGCAGACAGCCCTGTGGGCTCTGCAGGATAAACTCCTTGTCCACCTCCTCATAGGTTGGTCTGTAAGAGATACCATCTGCAGATTTGGTAACAGACACATCATTGTCAATATTTATTAATGGCTCAGAATAATCACTAGAATGATGATTCTACCAGTGCCTCCTACTTCCAAGATTACAAGTCACTGTTCCCTCCAAGAGAGCTAAGGCTGTGACAGAGACACTACCATGGGATGCCATGGGGAAGCTTAACAGGCTTCTAGCCCCACCACTGAAGCAGGCAGTACCACAGTCTAGGCCAGCCCCTCTCTCCTGGATTGGATGCCCCCATGGCTGCGGAACTCACTACCTTTACAGAGCAGCAGCGCATCACACCACAGGCAGGTTATTCTGCTATTCAGGCAGCAGGGCACACTCTCACAGTCAGGGCCTGTTGAGCAGAGGCCCAGCAAGTCAACACCTGCCTGACCAACCTGAGAACAATATGATCTAAGTGTAATTGTATCCTGAGGCAATTACTTGCAATAGAAAGTAATTTACAACACCAATAAATCCTGCAGAGGAACCATATCTCTATTTGCCTCCCTAAAAGCATAAACATTTCCATTTCTCAAGCTTCTATCTCACACACCTCCACCTCTAGCCCGCAGCCACCTCCTCCTGCAACCACAGGATTTCAGCCCAGGACAGCCTGAGGGGGTTACCTAGCCCCTCAATGTCTCCAGAAGAAAAACAAACCATCACAAATAAACACATTCTTCCTGTAAAAACATTACAAATAAGTCAGTCTTCTTTGGCACTATTCCAAATCTAGTTCCCTTCCTTCCCCATTATCAGAGTGGATGAAGTCTTCTAGAATGTTCCCTATGTATTTTCATAAATACACATATCCATGGTGTATAGTAAAATATGTATCTATTGTTTTTTTTGTGTGTGTGTGTTTTAAGTAAATGATACAATTCTGATTGTTCCATCCCACACTTGATTTTTCAATAAACTCCAGATCTTGGGGAACTTTCTARTTACAACACAGATTAGCATCTCTCTAGTAGCTGCTGTGCCTTCACAGGGCTTTACCATAGTGTATTTACTCTCCTCTTAATGACACTTAATCTTTTTGTCAAGTACAAGAATCTTGCTGAGAACATTGTAGACCCCCTTACAACAATTTCCGAGCCCAGGCACTCCCAAAGTGTTCCCAGACACTTTGAGCTGAAGCTGACTTCTAACACCCTTGTTGGCTGTTTCTCAGAAGAGAAACTGACCCTGGGGGTGTTCTCACCCTGAAACTCTCAGATGATTCAAGATCATCTGGTCACCAGGCCCAGAGAGGTTAAGCAAATAGCCCAAGGTCACAGAGCAAAGTCAGAGCTCTTGCTTCTTCTGAAACCTGCAAAGCCATTCACTGCACTAAGAGAACAGAAACGCAGCCAGTTCTCTGCCCTGAGAAGCTCTGTTCCCAGGCTCAGCAGTTGCAAAAGGCCCCTAGGGCTTTGTTTTCAAAGGAGAAATGAAGCGGGAAGTATTTTTAATGCTGGCGCTGCCTTGCCGCCCTCCCAGGCTAGCTGTCCAGGAAAGGCCGGCTTCACGGTGGCATTTGCAACTCATGGAAAACAACAAACTCCCGAAATAGACGATACCCAAGCTCAGGAATGGAAAAAATTGGCTCATGGTTTCAAATGCCTCTTTTAGAAAAAGACAAGAATAGCTTTTGGCCTTTGGGGATAAGGGAGGGGGTGTTGCTGGGATAGGGCTGAGTCCCCAATCAACAGGGCCAGCTTCCTGGCTGAAGGAACACAGGGTTTGTGAATGCTGGCTTCCCGCAGCCCTCCACAGGGAGCCGCGTCTGTACCTGCCCCAAGCTCCCTCCAGCCTCCCCCAGAATCGGGAGCAGCTTCCCTAGTTGGGTYAGGGCTGGGCTGAGGGCCCCTCCCTGACCCAATCACTTCACCCCACAAGCCCCAGCAGGGAGAAATCTGGGAGCCTGCACTTCCTTGAGCCAGAGCGAGCAGTGAACAGTACCCCCCTGGGGGGCAGGGGAAAGCAGGGCCAGGAGAGGAATTTGGGGTTTTCTTCCCCCTCCCCTCCCTGGGAGCTCAGGTGCCTCATCCGGAAGCAGGGAATCAACCTTCATCTAATCATTCAGCCAACATGTGTTTTGTGGTCCTACTCTTTGCCACACTGACCTAGAGGCAGGGGACATAGCTACAATCAGAACAAAGTCTCTAACTTCCTGCAACATGGACCCTGGAGAATTGGTCGCTCCTTCAGTCACTGAGCTGAGGCCTGGTGCTGGGAGGGGTGACCAGGTTTACTCCAGCCAACGCTGCACCTGCATCTCGCCTGCATTTCACCCTCGTCCCTAGAAGTGACCAATATATTTGTCCCCAGAGTGCCCTTGAGGACACTGAGGGACAGACACTACTGTACAAGTTCACAGGCTCCACCACAACTGGAAGAAGAAGGCTGACTGTGTGCCAGGTGCAGGTGCCAGGTCTCAGGATCAGGATAACTAGAGTCACTTTATGTCACCAAGTGGTTATCTAGGCTGGAGATCAGCACAAAATGCACCGGACTAGGAATTCTTAATAAACAGATAGGTAAACGGAGGTGTGCAGCGGTGATGTGGCCCCTGTCCCGCCGGCCCCCGCACCCCTACGCTCCTCTGGGGCTGTTGGTGGAGGGCCAAGCAACTGGAGCGCACCTGGGGCCCCGGAGGGAACTACACCTCCCAGGATGCCGTGCAAGGGGGACGAGTAGGGGGCGGAGCCGCCGCGTAGTCAGAATGTAATTTCTTGGATTAAAAAAAAAAAAAAAAACACGAGGGGGGGTAGCGGGGAGCAAAAGTAAAGAGAGAAAGAATCAAAGCCTCGAGCGTCACGTCTAGGAATAGCCTCGGAGTCGGGCCAAGTCATTATAGACGATGAGTAATCGGGTTAAGTCATTTCTCTAAACACCATTCCTTGTAAGAGAATTAAAATATCAGCTTACATCAGAGGCGGGAGGCGGGCTGCAGCGCCCGGCCAGCGCGGCCAGAGCCTGGTGCGGCGGCGCGGCGCTGCCCCTCCCGGGCGCGGCTGCGGGGTGCCGGGCGCTGCGGGCCAGCCAGCGGGGGCTGGGCTCAGTTTACCCGGCCACCTAGGACTTATCCCTAGCCATAGACTGGTCCCTCTGCTCAGTCTGGGGCTGTCTCCTCTCCAAGCGATTGGTGGCCCTCGTGGTGGCGGCCCTGCGAGAGGAATGAGGAAAGGGATTGGACCCGACAGATCTGGGGTTCCCTTTTCTTCAACGATCCTCCTGCCCGCCCCCAGTTGCAGTTGACATCTGCGTAGCTTCACGCCAGCCCCCCAAAAGAAGGACTGGGGACCTGGGGATGGGAAATGAGGATCCCCGCTCTCTGCGGAGGTTCCAGTTTGCCTCTGACTTCCAGGAAAGTCATTGGGGGGGGGATGGGGAGGTGGGGTGCTCCTTAGTTTCCATTTGTCGCTTTTTCTCTTTGGTGGTCCTGTATTAGGAGGACCTGGACTAGGGCACACCCAGGCTGGGGGGTGGGGGAGGGTGGCTGCTAGCGCTGCTTTTGACATCCTGAGGGGCAGGACTAGGATGAACCTGGGAGGGTGGCTGATCCAGAAGGTGCCCATGGTGGCCCTCTCCTGGGTCCTGGGTAGTTGAGGCCGCAGAGGCAGAGGCCCCCAGCCTTTGGCGGCCTCCTAGCCAGTTTCAAGCAGACCACCAAATGCTTTGAGGCAGACACAGCAGAGTCCAAGATCCTTGAAGTGAGCTAGGCTCTTTAAAAAATCTCTTTACCAAAGAGGCTGTCCTTTAGGCCTGTCACCAGAACAGAACAGAATCCTCCCAGGCTCTGGGTGAGTTACAAAAAAGAAAGAGAAGAAATAAAATGGAGGTTGATTTTGGCCCATGATTCTGGAGGTCCAAGGTTGAGGAGCCACATGTGGTGATGGCCTTTTTGCTGACAGAG